GGGATGAAGCAATAACCTGGGTCATGTACGGCCGCTGTGCTGTAACCCCTAGCAACCAGTCATCTTATCCTGACTGCTCCAATCTGATGACAAGTTTGGTTGCTATAGGATACGGCACTGCTGTCAGGCTGGGGATGATAATGTTCCTCGTCAGCTCTCAGTGGTCCCGTCATCAGGAAATATGTGATTAGGGCACCTAACCCTAAGCTGTGCTAAAGTGACCTCGCAGGCTCTGTCATTGCGTCATTGTAGCATGCCCTAAGCGCTGGCGAGCGCACACTAAGGCCCCGTTCACACTAAGCGACATACCTTACAAGCGGATCCGCGCCGCCTGGGATAGCGCGGCATGTTCGGGGCCGACGTTCCAGCGACCTTCACCGTCCGGGTGCATTCAAAAATGTAAAAAAATTGCGCGACATCCGCGGGGGAAAAGGCCCCGTTCACCCTCCGCGATTGTCGCGCGATTTGCATTTTGCGCGATATCGCGAGATTTGCCGCGCAAATGCTTGCATTGAGCAAGCTTGAGTCGCGGATACATCCAAAAAGGGTCCTGCTGTAGCGACACACTACCCGCGACAGCATGACCCTTGGCACCATTGAGAAGCATTGGGGAGCGAAATCGCGCGGTAATTTGCCGCGATATCGCGGGAATTACCGCGCGATAAATCGCTAAGTGTGAACGGGGCCAAAGGGTCCTGCTGAAGCGACGGGCGACGGGCGACATGGAGCCGTACATTAGAACAGCTCCATTGAATAACATTGGCCGGCGACTTCTCGCGATATCGCGGCGGAAATCGCGGGATTTTGCGCTCAGTGTGAATCGGGCCCATCGCATCACATGTCACATTCGGGATAACTGTATCAGAACAAGAGAACCGAAGAAGCCATTAAAGAGGGATCAGGTCCCATATACAGTATCTCCCAGAAGTGAGTCCCCCCCTCTCATTGGATGATATCAGGTCATGTGACGACACTGAAGAAATGACACTTTGCTACAATGTAACGCAGTGAGTGTGCAGCTTGTATATCAGTGTATCATTTGTACATTTGGTCACATGACCTCTGTTGTAGGGATCAGATCCCAATCCTTCTCTTCAGCTAAGATGGTGTGCCTGGTGGCTTCCGTCACATGAGCAGCACTGGAAGGAGTCTGCAGCAGCAGCATTTTCTCCAGTAAAGGTATTTCAGCTTTTACTCCATCCCAGCAAGACTCCTGTCATTGGCTCTCAGTGTAGCTCATTCTCCAGCATTGGGAAGGATTCTTTACTGTTCATGCTGTGAGGAGGCGGAATCTCCTGGAATCATCTTCCTCAGATACAGGAATTGTTTCCATATAAAGATTCGGAGGGTTTTCTAAAAGAACAAATCAGTTCCCTGTGTTCTGTTACATTGTATCTCCCCATTCCTCCTTCTCTACCCTCC